GTATAGTCTGCCTGCGTAGCCGAGTTACGTGTGTCCTATTTGTATATCAGCTGATGCACTTAATCAACCACACGCATTGCAGCCATCCAACAGAAGATTGCAAGATGTGTGCTACCCCCATCTCCAGTTGTGTTTAGCTGTAGTGAGAAACATACACTCCCCCTCCACTTCAACTTGCAATCAAGAAATGTGTGAAAACAGGACTGAAGCATCAAATCTAGATTTAAATTTATTCCAAATACATAGAACCACAGCAGCCAGAGTCAACCTCTCTGAGGTTGCTCAGGTAGCAACCTAGGTTGCTGCTGTCCTGAGCCAAGGCCAGGGAAACTACAGATGTTAGAACAAGGTGGATTTTATCTATTAGCTCATACCTGTAGCATGAGCTCAAAGGACAATGTCATACACCCCTTCCACCCACTTAATAAAACACCAGGGAAAAATGTATTTACTAGTGAGGTACTTTACATTGTAGGTATCTGGGGAGAGTTTTTAGCATTTGAACAGCAGCTCAGCAACGCTGAATGCAAACAAGCTCCAGCACTAACTGTCAGGCAACAATAGTGGAAAGCTGCTTAGTTCTCCTAGTCAGCTTGGGAATCACAAATTTAGAGATTCCCATCTTCAAGGGGTGTGTGAGATGGTCAGAATCCTGGTGCTAGGGAGGAACAGAAAGTTGCAGGGTGGGGAGGAGGACCCAGGTGCTGCCTTATCCAAGCTGTTCTGGATCAACACCTAGTGCTGTCCTAGCTTTGGGCAGTCATTTGCAGGTGTTTATTATGTATGAGAGTCATTAAAATGAATCCATCTGAAAGCCAGCAACAATGGCTTGTAATTTGCCCACAAAGAGGGAAAAAATGGGATGTTACTTGCTTGAGGCAGGGAAGGAAGGAGGGAGGAGGTTCCTCTCTGGCTTTGAAAAATTGTCAAAACTGTCAGTGCTAAATTGAAAATACTGAAGTAAAAAGCTGCAGAAAAAAATTACTAGAGCTGTTTATAAGAAAAAAATCCACTATGCAGCACAAGGTGTGAGCAAGTACTTCAGATGCTGCAGTACTTCAGCACACACTCCAGTGGCATGCAGCAGGATCAAGCAGCTTGTGCGTAACCCAGCCACGGCTTTGTGTCCCCTTGCTACAGCATCACCAAGAACAGCTTCCCTCTTTCCCATGAACAGTGGGTCAGCTTTAAGTTGCCTGAATCATTTGGAAGGAAAAAAAAAAAAAAAAAAAAAACCCTGAGGGGGGCCCCAAATCAAATTCTCAGGCTCAAATGCCTGTGATCACAGGGAAAACTGGAGCCCAGAGCTCTGCTTGGCTCCTCAGGGCTGTGCCAATGAACAAAGGCAATCCTGTGGCACCAGGGAGGCATGGAGGATACCCAGCCCAATTTTCCTCCAGCCGATGTGGCTCATTTACAGGCACAACAGTTACTAATCGGTACTCTGAGAAGCAGCATAGAAGGCAATGAAACAGAGGGGTGCTTTTCAAAATTAGCGCAGGTATCCCAGAGAGAACTGCAGCGGGGGAAGCCAGCATTGAAAGAGATTCACAGCCCTTCAACTGCTGAATCTTTCCCTGAGCATTTTGCTTCTTTGTCTGATCTGGGTATTTATACAGTTAATAAAAAATGAGAGATAGTGACTCAGTTGCATAAAAAAATAGGTTTTACAAATTGCAGGTATAGCAGAGTACTTCTTTGCAAACACACAAAATGTTTTGGGAATCAAGCTGTAAAATCACAATGAGTGCAGCAAATCGGATCAAATCTGGATCTCTGAGCCAGGAATATTTAAATTGTAACACTAATTCATCCCCCAATGAGTTGATATGTTTATTTGGCTTCAGGAAATAGAAGACAACTGGCAGTGACCCTATTTTGGGGAGAGGGGAGGGAATCTGAGAATTTCTATCATTTTCACAGGGAAGACTCCCAAACAGATGATGTAATTTTTGAGCATAGCACAGGTCAGGTCCACAGCCTCTGCTGGCCAAATATCTAAATCCATTATTTGGCTGCTAGGGGTATTCTTCAAAGCAGTGCTCAGCTGCCACCTCAGTCTTTTATGTGCATTGGTGCCTGCCAGCTGATATTAAACGATTGCCTTTGTCAGGAAGCCGTCCCTTCTCATAAGTTCCTAGTTCAAGCTAAATTCTGGAGTCAGAAACCAGGCAGGAGAGTGCCTTTTCTGCCAGTAGGACCCGATGCTCTGAGTGCATGAAGATTTTATACTGCTCAAGTTCAGCAACCAGGACAGGCAGCTACCAGCTCCTGCAGCTGCCAGGAAGCAGCACAGCCCCTGCTCTCGGCAGGCCGGGGGCAGGCACCCCTCGGCTCAGCATATCCCTTCGCCCATTTATTTGTAGGCACCCCTAAGTGCCTGGTGTGGATGTGACTAGTTAATTACTAGCTGGCTGTGAAATGTCTTTGCATTAAGATCTCCAGCCAAAGACACTTGCCTCAGGACACATAATAAGGGAGGGCAGCATCACAGATTTTGCAGCCATGTGGTTGCCCACCAAACTTATTGAAAAGCCCACTGACCATCAACAGTTTGCTCTGAGGCCACTTGCAGAAAGCAAGACCACAGCTCTCTTAAGCTGGTCATGAGAAACTGAGGTATATGCCCCTTTGGAAAAGTTTGGATTAAAGTGGAAAATAATACATAGGTACCAAAAAAAGCTATCTGCAAACCCCTCAATTCAGTACCATTTCTCCTACATTTCTTTTTTTTTAAACTCTAATCCTGGAGGAGTTGAAATATTCCCCTTGTCTGAGTTAATGCTGCCAACGTGATGTTGCTGGAACCACTTACATAAATTTTCAAACTATGTCAATGCACCAAGATTTTCCACTAGCTGCAGTAAAACAGACTCATGTTTTTGGACAAAAAATCAATTTTGCTTTGCACTTTTAGATGTGTGGTATATGGGAAAAAAAAAAAAAAAGAAGAAGAAAACAACCAAACACAAAAAATTGCCATGAAAATAAAACTGTGTTTTTCATCTGAAGGAGTGGTATGTTCTCCCTCCCTCTTCTGCACTCTCTGGAGTGTTTTCTATTAATATTAACCTTTTTTTTTCTGCCCAGCTGTTTCCTCCCAGTGTAATCTCCCATGTAATATCTTCACAGGTGTGGAATCTTTATACCAGCCCCAAATTGCTTTTTCCCTGGCTGACAAAAAACACTTTCAGAGAGCAAAGCTTTCACCCTGTCAAAGACACCTATAGCACGAAAGGGCATAGACTCAAAAGCGTTGACAGTAAGACCCCCACAGCCCCTGCCACCTCTCAGTGGCAGAATGCATTGTGCTATGAAAATGATGAACAATCTTCAGCAGGGTGATCGTGTGTTATTCTTGACAGCCAGGAGATGGGAGCTGTGCCGGGTGTATATATTCCTCCAGAGAGACAACAAAACAAGGTGGTTCAGTCCTGCTTCCCAGGTCACATCCTACATCAGCGAGCTGTTGAAAGCAATTGCTGCGGGCAGCCGCTTTACTGTCCATCCCTCATCACTACCTCCAAACTGTAAATCTCTCCCAGGAGAGTGCGTTACCTGCTGTCTCTTCCCAATTGCTCCCCCAGTCTGTTATGGGATGGCTCTGCTGTAAATGGGGGTTCCTGAGAGCCCACGCTGCTGCCTCCACTTGCCCTTTCGCAGAGAGAGAGATCAAAACGGAAGGGCCCATAGGAGGAATGAACAGTCTCATGTTAACTTCTGTTAAAGAAAAAGAAAACAAAAGCAGAAGGAGGATTAATTAGATTGGATACCAGGGACTGATACCAGCACCAGGAGAAAGCAGTCATTTTACTTTGCGTTCGGAAACACAATTTTCTGTGGCATATAAGTCAAAGGAATAAAACTTGCCACCGGCAGTAACTGTCATTTATTCCTGTAGCTGTACCTTGAAAAATCCCCAGTTTACTCTGGGACCAGGATGCCCCAGTGCGCTGTACAAGAGGACACTCAAGTGCTCCTTCCAGACAAGTGGCACACAAATCCCTGAACCGATGAAGCATGTGACACGGCACAGCACAGCGTCTGTGCGAGCCTACCCCATGTGCGTCTGACTAGTTACACTTCCCATTTGCTTAGTAACACTGATTTTTCAGCCAGGCTTACAAACCACTGCACAAAAGCCAGTGCAGGCTGAACGGAGGGCTGGGTGGGCTTGAATTTTGCAAGCACCCCCTCCCACAAATTGAGCCCCTGCTGGCAGAACGAAGGGTCAGCTGGGTCCACGCATCTCATCTAGCTGGCAACCAAAGACCCTAGGGGAGGAAACATGTGCCTTTTTTATTCACCCTTTCCAACTTTTAAGATAAAAGCTAGTAAAATTTCATTTCAAAACTGCAACTTCATTTTCAGAAGCACTTAAAAGAAATAAAGCACCTAGAAATGGTTAAGAGTAATGTTGCTACAAAGTGAGGAAAACATTGTTGCCTGCAGAAGAAGGGTGTGCACACACCCATAGGGAAGAGCAGTGGGAAAGTTCAATTATCTATCATCTGCTACATTAGGAAAACTGATGTAAGCCCAAATTTCTCTTTAGAGTCATGTTTATTTGGGATGCAAAGCAGGAGCTTGTATTCTATGTGGCTGAAATCAGCACACAGGCTGCAGCCAGCGCACAGCCCATGCTCTCATCATCCACTGAGATATGGAGCAAGCAGTACATCGGCCCAGCTGACGTAATTCGTCACTGTAAAGAGCAAATTCATACCAAAATGCTTCGGTGCCCATTGCTGAGGAGCTACATGCCCCTCATAACCCCAAGGCATTTACTGAAAACTGGACCAGGATTAAGTCTACTCTTCTCCATCTCACAGCTAAAGAAACTGAAGCACACAGTTAATGATTCTTCCCATGTCACAGAAGTCAGTAGCCACACAAGGAATAAAAGCTGAGTAACAATTACAGTAACACTGTTGTTCAGTGTGTCCTTAATGTCAGCACAAGGAAAAAAAAAAACCAAAAACCAAAAACCAAACACCATACCTAAGTCAAAGTAATTTTATTAATATCTCACAAGAGCAAATTGCTGCATTTTACTGAGAGAAAACCACAGCTTTATGTACCACGGCAGAACTTGGGAAGCTGCATACTAAAATGATGATTATGCAAATTTATCTTATGAACATTTTTAGGCAAGAATGAAGCAGGGTTTATTTTCTTTAATTAAAAACAGATTCCTATATAGTTCATTAGCATGGATTCAGAGCAGAATGAATATTAATGTAGCCCACCTCTCCCAATTCTACCTGACAGAAATATCAAGGAAAAAAAATATTAGAAAATGGATTCCTGAGCAACTGTAAATGCAACTAGCTAATGTCACTGCAAGGCTGCTGGCATCTTTGAAAGGTCAAGGAGATCAGGAAAACCTTTGTGACTGGAAAAAGGCAAATGATACTGCCACCTTCAAAAGGGCAAGAAAGAAGATCTGGGGGACTACAGGCTGGTCAGCCTCACTTCAGTCCCGCGGAAAATTACAGAATAAGGCATTGTGGAAGCTGTTCCAGGCACATGAAATACAAGGTGATAGGGAGCAACCAGTCAACACCAATTTACCAAGGGTGCATTCTGCCTGACCATCCTGACTGCCATCCAAGATGCAATGACTGCCTCCTTGGTGGAGGGGAAGCAGCAGATGTCATTCACCTTGACCACAGCAAGGCTTTCAACAGCGTGTCCCACAGCAGCCTTGTGGCCGGACTGAGGATACGAACTATGAGGTGGGTGAAAATCTTCTGGACCATTGGGCTCAAAACAGTCAGTGCTTCAAGTCTAAATGTCAGGTGGTTACAAGTGACATTCCTCAGTAGTCAAAGCTAAGGCAAAATGTGTTGAACATCTTCCTTAACAGAAAAGAACCCAGCTAAGAACACTAGTTTGTTGAGCCTGGAAAAGAGAAGGCTGAGAGGAGACCTAACTAGTTTCCCACTAGAGAAGGGACTGCAGAGAAGACAAAGCCAGCCTCTTCTCAGGCATTCAATGAAAGGGCAAGAGACAAGAACTGCAAGCTGTGACCACGGAGTTGGCCGTGAAGAACAAATGCTTGCCCCTGAGAGAAGCCAAGTGCTGGAATGAGCACCCAGACAGGCTGTGGAACCGCCACCACTGGAGGTTTCCAAACCTCAAGATCTTGAGCGACTTGGTCTAGCTTTAAAGTTGGCCTGGTACTTTGCAGGGGGTTGGATTAGATGACCTCCACATGACCTTTCAACCTAAATTTTTCTATGATTCTGTGATTCCAATTGCATATGTAAATAGAAGTCTAATCAGCAAAAAGCCACCAGTCACATTTTTTCTGACAGGGCTTTAGGCTGTTCCACCTGTCGGGTCTCAGACACCATTACTTGCTTCTTCAGCCAAAAACTTCATATACTGTTTCCGAGCAGGAAAATCATCAGCCGGCCTGTTGTATGCTGTCCAGACAGGTTCTCCAACGAATAGCCTCATTGCCTTCACGTAATTCTGTCAAAGAACAAGAAATGACAAGTAATTTGAGCTCCTTTCCATGAGATCTTCATTCTGAAGTTAATGTTTCATTTGCATTTCTGCAGAAATTTTTGAAACCATTTCAAAATGGACTGAAAGTAAGTTTCACGTGTTCCAGAAGATGATACCACTAAGCTGCTGTTCCTGCTCCCAGCCACTGCAGTGGGAGCTTTTGCACCTATGCAGTGATATATTGTGTCACACAACCAGTGCCTCCAGGTCAGGCAGAGACAGTAGTTCTCCTGGTTTCAAAGAAACCAGAAATATCCTGTCTTATGCAAATCTTTTGCACTGGATTCACAATACTGATCAATGCAGCATCTAAATCCTGCTTGCTTAGTTAAGCAACAGCAATCAGAATACCCAAGACGGCTACCCAGTGCTTTTGAGGAATACCAGAAGCTTCAAAGTGAAAGCCATAAAAGCTGAATGGGGAGTGCATAAACAAGCCTAGCCAAAAAATAAGTGCTATGGGAAGTGAAAACTCTCCAGATTCCAACAGGAAAAGCAGCCCCTGCCACCAGCTAACCAAAAGTATGCCAAGTGCGAGGTATAGCTGTGGCAGCAGCAAAGGGGATTTTACGTCCTGCACAAATGCTCCAACCACTGAGTTATGGGGAGCTCTCCTCTCCTGTCCATTACGCTACAGATTTAGACCCTACCTATTTTGTAAACACAGCTAAGTGCTTATCTTGCACCCAGGTGCTCAGCAATGTCAAGAATAGCTAGGTACCTAAAGAACTTAGGTGCAAAATGTAAGGGTCTAAAAGCACCGAAAGAATTTACTTTGAAGATGGCACTACTGGACTAAAGTTTCTGAAGCGGACAAACATTTAAGACTTCTTCTGGATTCAACCCATAACCCCCAACATTCTGTCTATGTAAAGAAAAAGCCTTAAACTAGCAATTGTAGCCGATTCACTGTGGATCTCAAAACGCAGACGTGAGAAGTCAGTTTCTTCACCAAAGCAGCATCTCCCTTTTTACATATATGACAACTATCTAGAGAGCTGATTCAAAATTATACCATTCTCAAGACTATGCCAGAGATGAGATTTTGCCACACAGGAGACACCACACATTTCCCAATTTTCCAGGGGTAATGCTGAGGTTACAAACATATTTATAAAAGCTCACAAGGACAGACACACAAATCAGGACTACATGTGCCAATCTCACAGTCCCATTGCCAAAAATACCCTCCAGAAGCAGGTCACCTCCTGTGAAGCCAGCATCCAGTCTCGCACAGCCTAGCTGCAAGTAGTGGCTCTGGACCCTTAAATCCTTCTTTCCCTTGAAGGTGAATTTAGCAGTCATGAAAAACGCCACTGCTGGACACAATTGGGCTCTGTCTATCCCCACAAAGATACACAACGAAGCAATACAGAGGGATCCATCTACACCATCTCCACCTCAACCGACAGCAGGGGCAATTGTGGGAGGGACAGCCACAGGACTTGGCTCTCACACCGCTGTCACATAAAATATGCTACAGATATCACGTGGCAATGACTTGCAGTTACAGCTGACGAGAGGAAGCTGGATTTGTGACCTGCAGATGAAAGGTTCAGATGCTGTGAATTATTTAGTGTTTTTCATATTCCTACTTCATATTTAATATGTTTTGCTAACGAACTGCAAGTCTCAGGGCATGTAGTTACTAACGTGATATACACTCACATGGATTTGTCATCAAAATTTACAGTAATCTGTAACAACATACGTTCTCATCCAGTGTAAATCGGTGATATATGCCAGCAGGGAGGGTTATCATGTCTCCTTTTTCCATGGAAATCCGGATCCATTTGTCATCCTTGTCACGAACATCAAAATAGCCAGATCCATCTAAGATGTAGCGAATTTCATCGTCTAGGTGTAAATGTTCTTCATAAAATGTTTTTATCTAGGAACAGCAAGTATCTCTTAAAACTACTGAACACAGAAAAACTGCAAAGAAATCTGGTAGAAACACGTAGCAAAGCAGACAAAGGCTTGAAAAGGGTAAATGTGCAGTGATTTAACTAACAGGTGAGACCAACGTGGTTAAAATGGCCAATCCAGCCAGCCAGACCCTTTCTCAGAACACTTCTAAGCAGGCTGCTACATTTCCTTTGGAAGACAGGAATTTCTCTGAGAAGAAACAGCAGCTATAGCTGTACGTAACCAGACTCTGAATAAACAGTAATGCTTACACCCATTTCAGAGAGAGGCAGGTAAAGCTTCCCACCACAAGATTTGGTCCTTGCAGTTGTTCACTTTGATCATTTTCTGCCTTTTTTTTTTTCCTGACATGCAAAAATAAAACAGCTACAGATTATACCCCCCCTTTTACACTGGTGTGGGGCTGAATTAGACCCGAAGGCTTCTACAACTGCATGTGAAAACGCAGTTATTGCCAAACACGGCCTATCTACAGCAATCTGATGTAAACAGCATGTCATGCCTGCCCCTACACAGTGAGCCCCAGCTCCAGGCCCTCTCCTCCTGGGCAGCAGCAACATCATTCTTGTTTTTTTCAGAATGGTGAATTCTCTGTACATTTCACAGCACAGAAGAAAACATGGTTTGAAGGTTCAATTAACAGAGACCTGAGCAGGTTAGTGCACAGAGAACAGTGTAATGCCAGGTACCATCATCTGCTTAGGTCTAGGTGTTGTTAAGCCACACTAGTGCAGATGTCCCCGAGCCACTACTGATCCAACACGGCAAGATGAGCAAAAGTCCGTATGCCCTATTAATAACTGCCTGTCTTTGAGTCGGGTAGAGCCCAGCCAGGCAACCTAAGTTACTACATAATTCAAATTCTCATCAATTTAGAACCATTATAACAAAATTGGCTTAAAACAAACTGGTGTATTGGGCTTGTGTGGCAGGGTTTTGGTAGCAAGGGAGGCTACAGGGGTGGATTCTGTGAGAAGCTGCTAGAAGCTTCCCCCATGTCCGACAGAGCCAACACCAGCCGGCTCCAATACAGACCTGCCACCGGCCAAGGCCAAGCCCATCAGCGACAGCAGTAGCGCCTCTGGAATAACATTTAAGAAGGGGGGGAAAAAAACAGAAAAATGCACAATGGCAACTGCAGCCGAATAGAGGAGTGAGATTATGTGAGAGAAACAGCCCCGCAGACGCCCAGGTCAGTGAAGAAGGAGAGGGAGGAGGTGCTCCAGGTGCCAGAGCAGAGATTCCCCTGCAGCCCGCAGGGAAGACCATGGTGAGGCAGGCTGTCCCCCTGCAGCCAGGGAGGTCCACGGGGGAGCAGATCTCCACCTGCAGCCCGGGGAGGACCCCACGCCGGAGCAGGTGGGTTCCCGAAGGAGGCTGTGACCCCGTGGGAAGCCCGCGCTGGAGCAGGCTCCTGGCAGGACCTGTGGCCCCGTGGAGAGAGGAGCCCACGCTGGAGCATGTTTTCTGGCAGGACTTATGACCCTGCAGGGGACCCACACTGGAGCAGTTCATGAAGAACTGCACCCCATGGGAAGGACTCATGTTGGAGAAGTTCATGGAGGACTGTCTCCTGTGGGAGGGACCCCACGGTGGAGCAGGGGACGAGTGAGGAGTCCTCCCCCTGAGGAGGAAGGAGCAGCAGAGAAAAGGTATGAGGAACTGACCCCAACCCCCATTCCCCGTCCCCCTGTGCTGCTGTGGGGAGAGGAGGTAGAGAAAATCAAGAGTAAAGTTGTGCCTGTGAAGGGGGGGGGGCTGTTTTAAAGATTTAGTTTTATTTCTCACTATCCTACTCTGACTTGAGTGGTAGTAAGTTAATTCAATTTCACCAAGTCGAGTCTGTTTTTCCTGGGATGGTAATTGCTGAGTGATCTCTCCCTGTCCTTATCTCAGCCTATGAGCCTTTCATTATATTCTCCCTCGCCTGCCCAGCTGAGGAGGGGAGTGACAGAGCAATTTTGGTGGGCACCTGGTGTCCAGTGAGGGTCAACCCACTGCAACTGGCAAATGGAAATTTAATGAAAGTAGGGAAGTACCACTGAATTGCTGTCCTCAGGTCAGAGCAGCACACCAGTGCCGGGAGGAGAAAGCTCCTTTTAGCAGGCTCATCTGAGAGCCTGTCACCATTCGCATTCAGCTGTTACAAGGTAGGCAAGGTAGCAGCTTCCCAAGGTAAAAAAAAAAACCAACCAAAAAAACCTTCTTGTATGGGGAATGTATCCCTCTGATTCCATGAGGTTAACATTCACTTTGAAAAGATGTATTTTGCAAGCAGCCATCAGGATGTTTCAGCCTTCAAAGGCCATGCCCAGCTCACAACCACCTGCCTTCATCCCAGGGAGGTTCTCTGAGGACAGGTCAGCATTGGCAGGGCTCTGCTGGCAGGAATCTTAGTTTTGAAATGACACAGTGTTGGGAACTAGCCTTAAAACCTTTGAAGGCAATCTACAGAAGCAAAAGGCCTCTGCTATTTTAAAAATAATACCAGAACTGCTTTTTTGATGTTCAGGACTTCAGTACAGGATGTATTTTACACCCGGAAATCTCATCTCTGCACGCCTGCTCGGGGTGTGTAGGTGTTAAGAAGCTGGCTGCACACTCTAGCGGTTAGACTTCAGCGTGCAAATCCTCACTGAAAGCAAAGACTCGCATACCTTTTCCTCATAATTTGGAAGCTTGTCTTTATGTATGGTTATTATATCCATCCAGGAATAATTTTCTGCTCTCCGAATCTCTTTCAGGCAGGGATCAGTCTCATAGTTGTCAGCATCCAACTGCAAGATAGGCGGGGGGAAAAAAAAAAAAAAAAAAAAAAAAAAAAAAGAAAAAAAGGCGTTCGGACACAATTGCTCAAGACGCCGTTGAGGACACGGAGGTGGAAAAACCCGGGTTGTCAGGAGCGTCAGCGGCGGCGGGGCA